AGTAAGCGTGTCTTTAAGATGCTGATAAGCAAACCCCTGAGACCCATAGCTAGCCTTCACTCCTCGGGACTGCTACGCTCTCACACAACGCATCAGAAAGAAATTTAGAAATTGAATGAGGATGATGGGGGATGTGTACTCGTACCCTCACGTCTGGGGTCAATCATCCATGGCGAGGTGAGTGCCTAAAGCACAAGGACCGGCAGGCTGTGGCCTCCAGGAGCCAGCACCGGGCCAGCGCCTGCTGCCGTGGAGTGGCCCCTAACAGGATGGCGAGAGGCGCTGCCCTGCTCTCTCGCGAGGTCACTCTCCACCCGCAGCAAACGGATGGCCCTGGTGCAGGAGAGCCGTCCTTGCGCAGGCACGCGGCTCTGTTGGGGCTTGAGACCTTGCTCAGCTTTTCCTCTGTCCTTTGACGGTGCTCAGGCCTTGGGACGCCCGGCATCGGGAAGGGGCGCGAGCAAGCAGACGCGCGCGGCGTGGGAAACATCCCTCCTCGGAGGGTGCAGCAGCGGACCTGCAGCTTTTGTGTCTCGAGGAATTTCAGGAAGCCTTTTCCTTTCCAAAGTAAAGCTCTCTGAGGACAGGACTGCTTAGCGTCCTCCCCTTCACGCGACTTGAGCCCCAGCAACTGGCTCCAGCTCAAAATCCACCGGGGGATGTGTCCCGCCACTCCTCCGTGGGCTCCCGTTAGCTGACAGCCCGCGCCCGGGCAGCTGGCAGCCCAGAAGCAAGCGCAGAAAACACGACCGAAGCCCAATACTGCGCACTGTGCTCCAGCTCCCCTGCCCGCTGCGTCCCTCACAGCGTCCCAGAGGTGGGAAGGCAGGCGCGGGGCACCAGCGGCAGGGACCGGCTGCAAGAAGCAGCAGGGACAATGCCTGCCACGGTCATGGGCTGCGCAACCCAGGGATAGCGCGCCCGCCGGTAGAGTAAGTGCGTATTAATAATTTAGGCTATTCTATTTTAGACTGGCAATGTGCTGCCCCTCACCTGTATTGCTTATGTGCAGGGGGTGCCTGAAATAGCAGCTTCTCTAACAGCTCTCCACAGCGCCAAGCCGTGCGCAGCCAAGAGAGGGGCTGTGACTGGCAGGGAGGCTTTCCTCCTCGGCCCAGACACTGCAGGGGCATTATTTTCGAGGTCATCATTTTCTCTTTTGTCTGTGGGGGTCTTGGCTGCGCTACGACTTCCCGGAAATCTCCCCCGTACAGATGTGATGCTAGTCTTCCTCCGCTGGAGCCAGGCGGAGTGAGGGTCTGCCCACCGTATCATCCAAACCCACACAGAGCTGGAAAGGCAGATTCCTGCACAAGGGAGTGACTTATCTAAATGAATACTGAACCCATTCACACCACCGCCACGCTTTCGTTTATACGTTCAGCTCACTTAGGATGTCGCATTGGGCTGTGACCTTCAAAAATTCAATTCTGTGATAAGTGATTACTGCTTTGTCCCCCTAAGTGACTGCTTTATATAGATTTTACTTCAGATCCTGAAAGCTGAATGACCAAATCTCTTTCAGGAAATTGTTCTACCTTAACCACCAACTTTCGGAAATGCATCATCTGGCTTTCTGGGAAATTGCAATTGTGATATTGTTAGAAAACACAAGTCATAGCATTTTACAAGTGGTTTCCCTACACAGGCTGAAATACTGCAAGTTTACTGTGATTTCTGGTTTGCATTATGCTGCATCAACTCATAAATGATTCATTTGAGAAGCTGTATTTTATGATGTATTAACAAATAGGTGAAAGGTCAGATGCATATAATTCTGAGCTCCTAAAGGTTATACTCATTTGGATGTATTTGCTTACCTAAAACTCACAAGAAAAAACTGTTAAATGGGTTTTCACCTTGCTGCTATACTGACTGCTTGTTCTTAATAAAAGAGAAAGGATTTTTACGCTGAGAAGATTAGCCAACATATGGTGATGCATTTACTAGCATAACAAAATACCGTCCTATGTTATATGACACGACATCCAGAACAAACTGTGAGTTAGAACATCAATGGTTTATCATTCAGTTTTGTACCATGATGATTCAGCTAATGCAAAGACATATCAAAAATAAACAGGAAAATCATCAGAGATCTTTAGGATAACTTGCATTTTTAAAGGCTTTTATTACACTGTGTATTTCTAAATAACGTGTGCTCTGAAAACTAGAAGAAGCTTTTGAGAAACAAAGTGTCTCATCACACCCCATACAGAAGTGTCTTAATTTCTGGGAGCTTTGAACTTCTCGTTGCAGCCAAGTGGCCAAAACCCCTTCTCACAGGAACCCACTGAACTATGTCAGTGTTCGTCCCTTTAGCAGCCTCCTTATTTCTTATTTCAGAAGACCCACTAGTGATGCAGAGATCAGTTTGAGTCCTCATTTAGGCAGAGAGCACATTAATACACAAACTGTAATGGCAGTAGGGTTGAATTTGGTCCATGAGCCCTGCACCAGGCTTTTCAATGCTGCTGGAAACAAGGTGGTGGTCTTCAGACCTCCCCTGGGTATCACGACGTGTTCACCCACCAGCATCAACCCTCCAGCCTCGGGGTATGAACACCCTGCCCCACAGTGAATTAACTCCCCACCATCTACGTATGTACAGCATCAGGGGCACTTTTTAATCTCTGCAGCTCACTGATGCACAAGAGGCAAGTTCAAATAACCTTAACTCTGTAATTAAAGCACACAAGATAAAAACCACCCAAACCATTCTAATTATGCTAATGTTAAACGATGCTGACTCACTGAGCTCTTCACATGACCACACTTTCCAGGACCTAATAGGGAGAGAAAGGACTGCCCTCCTAGAGCACTAAGATTCAAGTCAGGGATCTATATTCTGTGGAGCTTTTCATGAGAAGAATTTCTGGCAAACTTTAAAACACTTAGAGCCTAAAGCTATACAGTTAGGTGCTAAGCACCAAAATGCTTTCCTAGTTGTCACAAAAGTTATCAGACATTAGAGCAGCCATATAATCACAACTGCTTTATCTGCAATAACGATATTTTTTTTTAACAAAGCAGAAAAAGACAAAAACAGGGAACGATCAGAAATTGCCAGAAGAGACAAACTGAAAGGTGTTGTTTTTCTAAGTCAATTACAATAAAAGGGAAGGAAAAAAAAAAAAGAAAAAAGAAAAGAGTAAGCCAAGATTTTAGCCATGTGCTTCCTCAGCCAATTGCATATATTCATTTGTGGCAATGAAAGGGAAAAGCTGGAATGACCCAATTCACTCTTCTCAGGAAGCTGCAGATACTCAATTTGCAACGTGACCAAAAATTTTAGACAACTGTTGAAGATTTATAACATTTCTAGAATGAGACATTGTGTACCAGCATTATGGGAAGAATATGCAATATGAATTACTGTAAGCCTTAAACGGGCTCCAAAACAACAGACAATCAGGCGACAATAAATTCTCTATGTCTGATTCCAAGGTCATGTGTTCAAACTTTTTTGTGTAAGAAAAAGGATTAATTAAAAAAAAAAAAAAAGCTGTATATCGGCACTATTTATCTTCCTGTGGCTCCAGGAAGTGGGTCGTTAAAGAGCAGCAGGAATACCACAAGGTTTGGTGACCCTACAGGGTGGCACCATGAGGCACAGCCAGTCTTTGCTCTCCACCTTCCTGAACCCGGCTGCTGCGCCATGGTCGTGCAACCAGCAGTGCCCACAAGCACTGACTGCAGCCTCCTCCCACCACAAACTCCTGCTGCTTATTTATTTGTTTATTTTGACAGGTTAATTTTCACCCAGACCAGTTCCATGATCTCGCTTGCCATGTGGCCACCCCAGGGGTGGTGTCCCTGCAGCGCAGAAGCTGTGACTGTCCTTTCACCAGCAGGACATGTTTAGGGCTTGTTGACATGTTGCTTTGGTGACTCCTGGCCTTCATGGAAGAAACGATCCCTGAGAGGGCTCAGAGGAAGCGAGATGCGGCAGTGACATGCTTTCCGGTCCTAACAATAATAATTCTTGTGATATTTTTCTACAATGATTCATGGCTGAAAACCAGTCTCTGTATGACGTGAATTAATTTGTGAGTAGTTTTGTTAAAAACTAAGAAGTACATGCGCGACTTATTTCTCTGAAACACACTGCTTTCTTTTTTAGGAACTCATCCTACCTTGGAACTTATTAAAACTTACTTTCCTACCCAGGATTTTTGTTGAGAGGATCTGAGAGCATTTAACTGAAACCCTGCTGGTTTCTAACGGTGGGGCAAATCCTGCTTTTGTTGTCCAGCTGTGAACCTGCTCAGCTTTTTACCTTTCCTGTGTGTCGTGGCAGTAAAGATAGCACTTACTAGTTACACATTTACAGCACAAGCAGCCACGCAAAACCGGAAAGCTTTCCCCAGGACTGAACCACAGCGTAGCCAGGTGCCAGTTCCCAACGGCGCACCCATCGCCAACGAATCAGCGCACCGCCCTGACATCGGGGATTGTAGCAGCTCACCCCGGAAAGCCTGCCCCTGGCCACTGCTGGCCCGAGCCCCACACAAAGCCGGACCTTCCACGGCCTTGGCACCGCCACTTGTGGTGCTCTCACTGACCAAGGAGGGTTGTGGCCTCTCTGCCCGGAGAGGAACGACCCCGCTTGCGAAACTAGAGGCCGGAGAACCGGGTGCTGGGCCTGTGGGGAGCGCCCGCGCCCCGTGGGGACGAGGCCAGGCAGGTGCCCGCTTTGCCAGCCCCCTCCTCCGAAGTGCCACCGGGGTTGGCCCACCCTGCCGCCACCGAGGCGTGACGTCAGGGCGACGCCACAGTGACGTCAAAGGCGATGGCGAGGCGCGGCGCCTCCAGCTCCCAGCGTGCCCCGCGGCGGAGCCGCCCGCCGCGGGGCACGCCGGGGGTTGTAGTTTTCCCGCCGCGGCGGGGGCGGGCGGCGGCGGCGACGCGGCTGCGCAGTGCGGCGGGGCCGGGCGGGGGGCGGTCAGCCGGCGGCGGGGCCGGCCCGTTCCCTACTGGCACGCCCATCCGGGCGGCGGCGGCGGCGGCGAGCTCGGTGGTGGCGGTGGCTGCGGCGGGGACGCTCCCATCCGCTGCCCTTCCTCCCTCCCTTCCTCTCTCTCCGCAGCCCGGGGCGGTGCGGCCGTAGCGGGCGGGGCTGTGGGCGCCCGTCCCCTCCCGCACCTGCCGGGCCCTCAGCCCCCCTCCGTGGACAACAGCCGTGCGCGGGCCGCGGCTCCGTCGTGAGTCGGGGGGGGGTGGGGGACAGCCCCTTCCCCTCAGCCGCCGGGTGCCGCTCCCAGCCGGGATGTTCTCCAGGAAGGGCCACGCCGATGTCAGGAAATCCACCCAGAAAGCGCTGGACCCCAAGCGGGACGTACTCACCCGTCTCAAGCACCTCCGGGCGCTGCTGGGTGAGTGGGGGGCGGCCGGCGGGGCGCTGACCCGTTTCCCGCCTCGCCGTGTGAGGGGGGCGCGGGGAGGGGGCGGGGAGTCTCCCCTAACCCTCCCCCCCCCCCCAACCTCCTGGTTCCCCTCAGGGCTTCTCCGCGCTTTGGCAGCTCCCCACGTCCATCCGCAGCCCCGGCGGCCGGGCGGACCCCGGGCAGGGCAGCGGCCGGGGCGTGGGCGGGAGCCGCTGCCCCACTCCGCGGGGAGGAGGTGGTGGCGGTGCCCGCTGGTCGCCAGGGCAGACCCCGCAGCCGCGGACACGCTCACCCTCCAGCGCGCCTCGGGCCATTTTGTACCGCCGTTTGAGGTGGCTAGGTAAGAGCTGTCCTCAAGGCAGGAGTAACACTGGGCGATAAAAACGTCTCCTGCGCAACCCTTGCTGGAGAGACCCCTTTCTGCCTTGGGTTTCATCAGCTTTCTTCAAGCCCCCTTTGCAGTTTTGGGTCGCTCTGCGAGCTCTCCTGGTTATGGCTGCGGAAAGGTAGCAGCGCGAGTCCTTTCAAAGTTACAGGAGCTGTGTTAGGGAAAGTTACCGGTGCGTTTTGCTGCTCCAGGCTTTGCAAACTTGTGTTGCCCAGTGTCAAAATATTTGTGATGTAGCCCTGTTGTTTGTGTACAAACTAGGACATAAATGTATTAATGTATTTCCTGCAGGGTTCTTCGGAAGATGCATTCATAGCAACTCTGCTCTTGTTGACAAGACTAATTTTTTTTTTTTTTTTTTTTTTTTTTTTTTAAAGTTTGAAGGGGGTCATGCAATAGTATTTAGTTACGCCCTTCCCTTTTCTGTGGCAAGGTTGAACCTCTTTCTCTAATGTCGCCTTACAGTTGCAGCCTTAACCCTGGTCATTTTTATTCTGAACACTGAAGCTAGTTGATGCGTTTCGGCTTTGAGCTATGGTTTGCGACAATTTGGGTGGTGTCGTGTTCTTTGTTAGTCAGCAAACTGCAGCAGCAAAATGCTCTTTTAAGAGCTTTTGTGCACTGTCCCAATTCAGAAGAATCAGCGACAGTGTTAGTACTTGTTTATCTTTAGATTGTTCTCCTGAGAAACAAGGAGGGGAAAATGATCTGATTTGTGCTTCTTGTGTACTCTAATCATTTTTTTAGTCTACCATTTCCATCAAGTTTGGCAGGTATGTAGGAGCCTCAAAAACATTGTGTGATGAGCTGTGAGAGATAAATAACTGGCTGGAGGAGAGGGCCTGGGGTTAGTGTGGCTCATTAAGAGAGAGCAGACATTGGCTGATGTATCCTCTGCTGAGGAGGAGTTCCCTGGTCCTTTAGCATTCTTGTTGCTCCCCTTGGACCCCCTATGTGCTTGCTGTGGATGGTGTGAAGGGTGTGTGGAGCCGGAGTTGCTGCCCAGGGAGGAGCTCAGGCCTCGTAGAGCCAAGGTTTTCCCCTTCAGTGCTCCGCCTGGTACGTGCACGAGGCTGCAAGACTTGCACTGAGGAACCTCGCTGTGGTTTGGAGCGTGGGCTCGTCAGTGGTGCTCGAGATTGAGTTTGAGATTAAAAGCTTTTTCCTGTCACGTTATGCTGGTGGGATGAAAAGGTACAGAAGAAGTTTTGAATGTACTGTAGCAAGGCAAGGAGCTTTTGTGGTGAGGACGCTGAGTATGATCCTGAGGGAGGAGAGTAGCAATTAGTCTCCCTCGGGATGGTCCCCCCTGAGGAAGTTGTACTCTGAGAGCGTGGAAATGAATGAGTAAAGAGTCTGTGATAGCTTAGCTTGTTATGGGCACCTTGCTGTTTTTTGGGAGATGTGTTTCTTACAGGTGTGAGTAATCGTCACTGTGATTTAAAGACTTAATTTCTCTGTGATCTACTGCATTTAAATAGCTAATCTGAAAAAGAGATTTTTGCGCATAACTGCTTAGTGGACAAAGTGCTGAACAAATACGTAAGTGGTCTTGTGTCACCCTCTAAAAGTGAACTGGTCTTGCTCGTCTTTTGAGCAACAATACATGTAAGTTCAGTATCCCCAATCCATAGATATTTAAGCTTCATGATTTGGACTCACAGGAGTTCTGACCACTGTGCCTGGCGGTGGGAGACAAAAGGCTTGCGTGTCAGAGGCCCTCAGCACCTGCAGTCTGCATGTTTTTTTGTGAGCAGTATTGACCCTTTGCTTTTGAGTTAGCTGTGACTGAGGGGTATGTGACTGCCCTGGGAATAAATTTCTCCTATTCTGTAAGTTTATGTAAAAAAAATCTCCATAGTTGGCAATCTGGTGGTCACCTTTGTGTTAATCTCCCTCTGGGGACCAAATGTGTACATTTCTTGTACTGGAGGTATATAAAATACTTTGTTTTGTTGGCTTTGTGGTTTGGCTTTTTTTTTTTTTAATATCATCCCATGAATCTAAGTGCCTAAGGGCAGGAATTTGAAAAGACAGAAGATACCTTACCTGCATTATGATATGCCTTTTAACTATATATGTCTTATTGCTCATGTGCTATACAAACAATATTAAAATAATGTCAAATTTCATTGTAAAAAAATTTTGCGAAATTCTTTGTTTATGAGATGAGGTTTAAAATGTTTTGTGAAACTATTCTGAGAAAGACTGGTCTAAGAGACTGTAGTGCGAGCTCACAGCTTTACATTTCTTCCTTTTCCACCAGCCTCACTAAAATGAATGGACGTGAAGGAATAAGAAGTATAGGAACTTTCTGTGAATGTTCCCCTTTCAGCCTCTCAGAAGGACGTGCCTGAAACCAAGACATGGCTGGTTTAAGATGAAATACTGGGCTTGCTATGGCTCTTGGTTATATCCCTCTTACGGGAGTGTTGTGTTTTTGTGTGCCTGGGCGGTAGGGAGGAGGTTGTCAGGCTTCTGTGACAGACCTGATGGGTGGAACAAATGGCAAAATATGCCCATTAGCATGACAAAATTAATTTATGTCCTAAAGCAGATGGTACAGAAGGTAGTGTTGTCTGATGGTTTTCTGTAAAGATGCTTATTACCCAGTTGGCAAGGGGAGGAAAAAATACACCTGTCAGTTCTCAGGAAATATCTTTTCTTCCAAGTGTCTGTTACATTTGAAGATAGTGACCTGATTTTTTTGATCAAACTTATTATTGAGCATTGGTTTTAAGTGAAAATTGTTATCAGTGCCGGCGGGCTGGGTAGCATATTAGTGACTTATTGGCTGAAGTGCTGTGATATGACAGCTGGCTGTCTTTTGGTAGATATGTTTTATTGCAGGGACTATGTCAAAGCAGGCTCTGGTTCTGATCCTGAGATGTCTGCTTTTGAGAATGTCAACGTAAACATTTTAGATAATACAGGAGTGGCTTTTTGAAGATAATATCTTCATAGATATTGTTGGAAGTACGTGTTTTATGGTCTTATTCAGTACAGAAGATGAAACAACACATAGTAAGAACTTACCCTGTATTTAAGAAAAACAAAGCTTTTGGTATAAAGGCTCAAAAATAGTTGGATTTTTCTTTCCACAACCCGCTCCCCCCCCTTCTTTTTATGCCCCTGCTCCAGTGTGACACTGCTTGTGCTGGCCAGGGGTAGGAATGTGCATGTCTTCGTGTTCTTCTCACCCCAGTCATTTTACTCCCTGTTTCCAACTACTTCATTCAGGCCGTAGTGGCACATGTTCTCAAAATAACTTCTGTTCTTATGTTTCCTTAGGAGATGCCATCTTTCCTTCCTTTGTTAGTTTTAAATCACAGGAATTAAATTGTAAACAAAATGACAGTTGCTCTTCTGAGATCCTACTGATGTAGGAGGATAAAAATCAGAGAAAATATGATAATAGGGGAGGGGTGAGGGAAAGGAACATGTATTTCTGTAAATAAGGGGTTGTGGGAGCACCAGGATCAATAACACCCAGTTTCTGATTGCTTCAAGTCTCCTAGCTACCATCTCTGTAAGTTTGTCCAATACCCAAACTGAAATAAAAGATTCCTTATAAGTTTTTGTTGCTTGTAACATCTTCCAAGTCTCTACAGCCCTTTAGCATCTGAGTTTCTCTTTCTGTGGGGTACTCTGCCAGTATGACAATACAAAACACTAACCAGAATAACAAAATTGTTTTAAGGTGGATGTTTGCTTGTTAGGTAAACGACCAGAGAATTTCTTTTATTTCTTTTATTGCTATAAAGATGCTAACCTTCAGAACTTTTGTAAAGTCAGTAGGAACTTTTTTCCAAATACAGGGTGTGAAAGTGTCAACAGCATGGCCTTCTTTTAGGATAGACTTGAAAAATAATGGTCTTATAAGTGGTGGTGGCGACATACAAGTTTGGCTCTTTCACACTGGCCATAAATTAAGCACTCTACACAGTTTCCCAGAGCAGTTTGTAAGGGATTTTTTTCAGCATAAAAATGTATCTCTGCTCTTTAAGACTTTATTTCTGTGGCTGTTCTTGGGTAAAAATATTATGTTCAAAACTGAAACATGTCTTTCAGTGTTTCCTCCTCAGATACAATTGAAAGGTTTATTTTAACATCTTTGCATGGTGTAGTGTATTTCCCTTGAATTCTTCTTCATGTTTCAAGAATTGCTCTGTCATGACACAGTGATTTTTATGAATAATGGTGCAATAGGAACAACAGCTACTGTCTGCTCTGTAATCTAGATGATGTCACTCTGCTCATGCATAAAACGGGGTGAAGTACTGATACTTTCAGGTTTTTGTTTCGTGAAGGTGATGAGCCTTTTTTTCATGGTGATGGTGTTCTTATTAACTTTGAGTGTGATTTGACTGAGAACTTTGTTTGTTTAAGGCTGGAAATTACAGAGTTGGTCTACAGGTAGTCTCTATGAACAATCTCTGGTGATTTAAGTTGGCCACTACCATTCACATTACACTTAGAAGGAAGAAAAAGTGGGAGCTTACCCATAGCTGCTATTGAATGCACTGAGCTGCCTGGAAGATGGTGACAACTATTGAGTTAAGGGTCTGGATTTTTAATTTTTTAATACTGAATAATCTTAAGGATGGTAACCTTGTTTGGAAAGTAGTGCTGATTTGGTGCAGTTGCCAAACCCAACTTGTTTTACAGATTTGTGGGTTGTGTGGATCCTGAACCTTGGTATTTGCTGAGGTGGGTCGTTAGACCATGTATGTGCTCACCCTTGGTTTTGAGCGTACTGATGGACTAAATTGTGCATCAGGAGACTGGGTGCAGGGTGGTGTTTGAATTAATAACATGCACTTCAGAGCCTGTGCTGTGGCACTTCACTCCTGGATGCACGCATAAAAGCCGAGCTGTTTCCAGAGTTACAGTACTTTATGTGTATTTCAACCACATTGTTGGAGAATCTGCTATTTAAATCCTGAGCTGGAAAATGGCAATGTTTTGTACATTGGTGTATGTGTTAGGAGTACTGCTGCTAACAGATGTGGAGTGCTGCTCATGTCCATTGCTTTTATCCTTTTCTCTGTTGAGCAGCGGACAGTAGATTGGATACTGCTACACACAGACTACAGTTTAGATTAAATGTGAAATTTGTTAGGTTGCTAAGTGCAATCCTTAATCTTTTTCTTTAAAACATACAAATTAAGAAAACCCATGTTTTTAATTTAACTCCCTCAATCAAAAATGAGATAATAAAGTAGAGCAGTGGGTTTTTTTTACTTATGGCACTGTCTTGGTTTGCACAGCTCTGTAAAGCTAGGTTAATACAGGCTTAGTGGAAATTTTCATTTGGAGACATTCAAAAGTGACTGCTTCCAAACTGAATTTAGAACAGCTGTTGTTCCTTGGATTTCATGTGAAATTTGAGGTGTTAAAGTTATTTTAGAAACTATTTTAATTGAAGGGTGTTTTTTGGTAATGGTATGTTTCCATGCTGATGTTCCTTTGAAGAAATCAAGGAAAATTATATTTTGGGCTTTTATTTAGCATGTAAAGCTCTAATCTGAAAAAGTGGGAGTTTTTTGGGGTTTGGTTTTTGTGTGTGTGTTCTGTTGTTTTGTTTTGTTTTTTTTTTTTGGTTGGTTGTTTTGGTTTTGTTTTTGTTTTTTTTTTTAAAGGTGAGTAAAAATTGTATGTAGTTTCTGGGGTGAGTCTACTAATAATAAAAGTTTATCATCAACCAGGGTATGACTGCAAGGTTGTCTCTTCATCTCCTTTAATTTTTTAAGTACTTGAGATAAAGAAAACCCCTCAGGATTGAGAGAACTTTGTGTAAGTAACATAAAACCAAGGGACTTTGGAAGTTCATGAAATTAAGGCAGGACTTGTAACTACTTAAATGACTGCAATAATGTTTGGTAGTTAAAAATAAAAGGAAAGTTGGTACGTTAAAGACACAATTATTGTCCCCTCTAGATTTTTTTTATATGAGGAAGAGTAATGAGAGCTTGGCAATAAACTCAGATTCTTATTAAATGATACCTGAGTAGATTGTTTCCCTAAATTTTAAACTGTAGTAAGGCAAGTAAGGGTGATTTGCAGTTACCTAATGAGCCAACTGTTTCATCTTCTATATAGACGAGTTGTCATGTGTACCCTCATGAATGTCTTGCTATTTCCTGTATGTTGCTGTAAAAGCTGTAAAGTGTTAATTAATCAGGAGCGTTAGCCAGTGGATCACCTATCCTTGCTTGGGCAACGGAGTTACAATATACATGTTTTTGGAAGGCCATGGCTGATAACGTTTGCCAGCTTGCCTTCGATTTCAGTGCTCAGATTTTTGAATTTGCTAGGTGGTGTTTACAACAGCAGTAACCCGAGAGCTATTTGTGAGTAAATGTAAAAATATAAATATAAAAATATAACCGAATACCTGCAATTCAACCCGTACCTTGCCATTTATAAATACTTCTTCAGTCAATGTGATTTGCCGGAAGTCATTTTTTTATTTTATCTGAAATGATGAACAGTGCGTGAAACGTTCCCCGAGGAGAACAGAAGAATGAGCCTTACCCTGCCACAAGTTAAACAAATATCTATATAGCAGTGATGCCAGTTACTGCGCCGGGCTACCTGCCAGCTCCTGGTAAGCCCCCTGGAGAAGCAGCCTTGCCCGCCGGCGCGGCGGGCGGCAGAAGCTGGGTTCCGGGGCGAGCAGTGGAGGAGGGTGGGGGACGCGGGCACGCTGGCGGCGGAGGGGCTGTGCCTGCCACCACCCCCGGGTCGGGCACGTCGCCTGCCTCCCCGGTGCCCGGAGGAGCGTGGGGGAGCCGCTGTGGTCGGCGCCGCTTTCCACTGCTCCTCACCGGGAACACGTACGCGGCGAAGGAGTAGAGAAATGGCGGTGTCGAAACGTATGCAGAAAATTAAGGAATTTGGAAGTGAAATGTCCAAGCAAGCTGTGTGTCTGACCGAGCAATGGAATTGTTGGGTGTGTGGCGTATTCATTACATTTCGGATTTATTTATTTATTTTTTTAAGCGAAATGGGCAGTGGTATAAGGATGACAATTCACATGCAGAATCGCAAGAAATTCGTACTTTCTGAATGAATGTCTACTCTTAGGGCAGTAAATGGGAATATTGTTATTGGCCTCTTGGGGTTAGAAAGTGTTCTCCTATGTATCTTGCTAAGGAATATAAGGAACAAAATAGTTCAATAGGAAAAGGATGTAGCTGTAAGAATGCATGCTTACATCAGAGTAACAGATGAGTCACCACTGAAATGCCACATTTATAGAAAAAGAGAATTTACTTTTTTTGATGAGGCAGTTCCTTTCTCCTCTTTCACAATTTAAAGGGAAAGTTTCCTTTTTGTGTAGATTTTAATGACCTCATTCCTTCGTATGAAATCCCTGTAAATGAAAGCCTTGTTTTCTCCTACAGTTGTGTTTAACAGAACGCATTCAGAGAGGAGTAATTGCACTTAGCTTGCAAATTCAAGACCAGTAGTTTGTAGGAAACAAATATCATGTAGAAGAGTTTCCATGCACTACTTGTTTCCATAGTATAAGCAACCAAACAAAGCCTTACTATCGAAAAGGTATTAATTTTTTATTTAAAAAAAAAAAAACCCAACCCCAAACCACTGTCCAAGGCTAAAGACATTCTTTCTTCTGTAGTTGTGTGATATTATTGGGTCATCTTGTTGTAGTCAGCTTCGTTGTCTTGATTAATTAATAGGTTTCTTGAGAGGTGAAACTTCAATGAGAAGACGTGTTGTTAATAATTCTTGCCCTTTATCCTCTTAATTTTGGGTGGAATCATCTATCTTTTCTTGACCAAATCAGTTACAATAAAGAGCAAACAGATGAAGTTAAAGTGTGTTTTTGCAAATATCAGGTTTAGAAAACGTTGGGTTTTTCTCCTTCTTAAAAAGTAAATTTATTTCAAATTTTAGACCTGAGTTAAGGCTTAGGGATGTTATGCATGCTTGGGTTTCCATTCTTCTGCTAAATGAATTGCAAATATTATATGTTCTGAATTGATCTGCTTGTCAGATAAATTTAATAACTGGATTTACAATTTGCGTATAGAAATCATTGCTGGCGTTTGTTTTTTCCAACAGTACCTGCTTGTTTTGATGATATAGAAGCCACTGAAGCCACTTAGATATCTAAGACACATCCCATTGACGTTTTTATTTTGGTTTGGTTTTGTTTTTTTTTTTTTAATGAATAAACCTAAGCCACACTGCAAACTTTCCTAATTTAAGTGGAAATGGAAATTTCCCTATTTTACTTGCAAGGATGGAATCATAATTTAGTATAGAATATTTAATGATGTCACTAAAATTGTTTTGGATTGCATTTATTTCGTACTCTAAACTTTCATGAAGACAACAATTTTCAGCTTTCTCATGTTGTGTAATAACTCCCTTTGTTCCTTCTTTCAGATATTGTGGATGGAAGTGACCTGAAGCAATTTTTTGAGAACAATTATTCTCAAATTTATTTTATATTCTATGAAAACTTCATAACACTGGAAAATAGCTTGAAACAAAAAGGTAAGTTTTAGAGTTTCGGCAGTGATTGGTGAGTCATTTTCCCCTGTCTGTTCTCAAAAGCATTCTAGTAGAGATTATCTAATGATTATATAGTCTGTAATTATCTATATTTGCATTAATAGTTTCATGTATTATTAATTAGTATGGATATTTGATTTTTATGGTATCAGAAGAGATGAGCATGGGAAATTGCTCTCTGAATGTCATAAGTAACTGAAAAGAATTCAAAATACATTTTTATAGCTAAATGTTATTTCAGCACAAAAATCAGGTCTTGTGCATTTATACATGTATCCTCTCATCTTGTTTTGAAGTATTGAAGGCCTTCATCCTACAGTTACACATAGGTCTGTTGAACTGAAACATCGCCAGAGACCCACAGAACAAATCTCAGTGTTGAAGATACGTTGGTAGAAATAGCTGTTTTCTTGGAGATGAGCACAGTGGCAATGCTTTGCAGATCTGGGACTCTACATGTCCCTCATTCATAATCACAAGAGAGACAGACACGGAAGTTTGGCAACTTCTTGCTCTCTTGATATTAGATAAGGATGAAGAAAAAAAAAAAAACCTGAGTGCAGCATCTTAGACTTCAGTTGAATAACAACAGTAATTTTGTTGTCTGCGTCATACTGTATATTTATGGCAAACAATATTATTTTCTGTTTCGCAGGGAATAAATCGCAAAGGGAGGAGCTGGACTCCATTCTCTTTCTTTTTGAAGTAAGTTTTCCATACAATGAAACTAATTTTTATTTTAAATCCCTTTGTCATTATGTGCTTACTTAGACCTTTACAATGAGAGGTGAAACCAGGTCTAAATCCAAATGACAGTAGGTGTCCATGACTATTCAAGGTGAAAGGCAGAAAAGAACTAGAGTGTGCATTAAGTTTTCAGCTACAACAACAAAAAGTTTACAATGCAGTGGGAATGTTGGTTGAATGAATATCTAGAATTAAGAGATTTTCTCAAAGTGACTTGAAAATCATACAGTAATATATCTGTCTTAGGGAATTGAAGAGCAACTCTTTGAAAATGCCCTGGTTTTTTTTTGAGTAGAATTTGGGAGCAAGCGATCAATAGTTTCATAGCCTCTGTTAGGCTAAAGCTTTCAAAACAGACTTTTTTATTTTCTCTCTCTCTTTTTTTTTTTTTTTTTTAAATTAACTGAGTTATTGCTTCTGTATTTTATGGAGGGCTAGTTGAAAACAACAGTACTTTTTTTGCTACACTTTGTCAGTATCAAGTTCAGTGTTGTGTTTATTCTGAATGTGTCCCAGCAGGAGTTTGGGCTCTACTCCTTTCAGACAGAGGCATCTATTATGACTGCAGTATTTGGCCTTGCAGCACAAGGAAATAAAAGGATGAGAGTTGTCAACTACTGCTTATCACTTTGATCAGTGTGTGAAATGTTAATTTGTTTAACTTTTTTTTTTTTTATTTATTATTATTTTATTCAGTGGAGCATCTTTTACTTCCAGAAGTATATCCTTCACAGCACTGGTAGTCATAGTATTTGCAGTGTCTAGGGAGGAAATGTTAACTAGCTAACTTTTGCATAATCAAATTAGGGTGCCTTTAAATTAAAGAAGAATAGACTGTGATAGATCATTTTCCAAGCCTCCTCTTTAATTAGAGATACTACCTAAATATATTTGGATGTGAGAAAAATATCACTGGACCAGATGAAAGCCTAACATATAAAAAAGTTTTTATAATACACACCAGAAGTCTTGGTGTAATCTCTACCTGTCTCTGAAGTCAGAGATCAGTGGCACCTTTAGTTTTGTGGTTTTTTTTTTTTTTTTAACAATTCATTAGGTAAATAATTGGCCTGATTTCTCTCTGAAGGATAAATACACACATTTGTTGATTTCTCTTTGTTAATCCAGCTACTAACTTTTTACTTGAGTATTGCATCACAGAAATCTTAAATTAGTTTATATTTTGGGTTATTTTTTGGTAGGTGTAGTAAAAAAAAAGCCCCAAACTGTAAATGGGACACTAGAAGTTAAAATGAAGGTTAAGTGTTTTCAACTCTTATCCCTCCATCTAAAAATGGAAAAAAAACTAAACCCAAAACAACCCAAACTAAAAAACTCAGAAATACATGGCTTCATTTTTTTTTCACTGATGTGTAGTTTGTAATTAAAATAATATTTACACTGACATTAAAAACAATGCTCTTTAGCCTAATATGCCAGTAAGATAAAAAATGGCCATTAAAATGATAACATGAAATGCTGGGATTTTTGTGGTCTCATCTTCTGACTTTGATGTAGCAAGTTCATCTCCGTTTTCCTCTTCTCCTTTGCTCCTTTAATTACAAGACTACATTTTCAGACTGAAATCTGAAAATCTAAGTGTTTTCTGCTACTTAGGTTATTAGTAAAAGTCTGCTGTAGGATTTTTGCATGAGTCAGTGTCAGAGAAGATGAGCTCATACATCTGCTAGGAACATATTTGGGGCAGAGAAATTCTTCTTCCTCCTCCCTCCCCACCCCCGGTGAAGAAGGTATCACCACAGTTACTGAGCAAGGCTGTGCAATTTAATGGCAGCTCATTAATACGCTTACTCTGTGGTCTTGAATAGGTAATTAAATTTCTGTGGCTATGTCATTGAATGGAAAATAGCTAATGCTTATTCACCCGGTTAAAGTGAATAAATATGCATTCCTCTGTCTTGAAAATGGGTGGCTAATAACAGCTTGGTTAACACTGCTTAGAACATCAGGCGAACATCCTGTATGAAGAAGGAAAAAATACATAGTTATGTATGAACAAAGTGTTGCTTTGGGTCCCAATTGAGGAAAATTCTATTATAGCCTAGTCATCAACGGCTTTGAGGAGGAAGAAATCATTTAAGATATTTGTGTTCAATTTGGAGCTATCTGCTTTGTGATGTTTATCTACTGGAAGTAAGTTGCAATCCATTTCACATTGTAGGAAAACAGCTTTTTATAGGGCCTTTTAATGCACAGACCGAGAATGTATCAGTCTGAACACAGGACAAGAAAAAATGTAAATGCCGAATAATTAAACATTCATATTGTAAGCCACAGGAAACAAAACTAATTGATTGTTAAGCTTGTCATATTTAATCTGATGTCATTGTGAGCCAGAGGGTTCCTAGAGTTTCCTTCTAATTAGCTAAATAGGTAATTATTTAGGATTAACAAATCCTGAATCCAGGTGCTGGAGGTTAACAGGTTAAAAATCAATAAAAATATTTATTAGAGGAACTGACTTGGGCCTTTTCTGGTATAGTTTTGCTGCTGTTCTTGAGTGACACCTAGTGTGTGTATTAAGCAAAAGTAACAAATGCCTTTTCCACAAATCCTTTGGAAGCTAAGTTGACTGAGTTGTAATTTATTGAAGCCTTAATTTTATGCATCAGCAACATAGCTTGGCCACTCAGCAATATCAAACAATGTATTAGTCAAAGAAAAAATATTAATCTAAAGAGAGTAATATGAAAGGTAACAGTTCATTTTGTAAAGTGCTTTTTTTACAAGTAATGCTACGAAGTTCCTGGATCTAATTTTATATTCTCTGAAGTGCTTTGGCCTTGTCTTTTTCCAAGTAGATATTAATGAAATTACGCAGCAACTGTAATTCTTATCTGTATTATTTTTCCCTGTTTCAACTAAAAGGCCAAAATGATGTGAAAACCAAATTTGTTTCTTCTCTGGTAAGGCTTTATTATCTCCAGATTTGTAGTGTATTTTCAGAACATGTTAATGTTGTTTCTTACACTGCTGTTCTCTCTGATTTGAGGATGTTGTTTGTTTTAGCTGTCAGCAGAGCACTGTGTGTCACAAAACTCACAAAAGATACACTACATTTATGTAAGTTTTCTAGGTCCCATAAAAGTATTATGCCATACTTTGATTGTGAATGCTTGGATTTTTTTAATAATAAAAGTATTTTTCTTGCAGCATTGGATACCGATTCCTCTGTCACTGCATTTTTTTTTTATTGCATCTATAATGAAATAAGAGCAGACTGATGGCTTTGATATAATACATAGATCAGTTTCTTTCCATTGTCTATAATTATGCTTTATTAGTTAAGAACAGCCACATCTCTTATGCTGATGCAGTCATAAAATTCATTACACTGGCATAACATGCTCGCTGTATGAGATATTTTATGACAATTTTTCAGATACTCTTTCCAATATAGTAAAGCTTCCTAAAGTCACTTACAGTAGCTGCTGTTTTTTCTAGAAGTTTTTCAGATGCTGTCAGTGTAGTTTGGGTCTCACTGCAGCATTGTAGGTAGCTGACAGGATGGGTTAGGTACTTCCACCTCCCGCAGGTGATACACATGCTGAAAGCTTCTCAGTATGGATTTCTTGTTCGCTTATTTTTTACCAGTACACATTAATATAACATGAAGTGCCCTTGTGTTCCACAGGTTCTTATTTATAAAAGCATACTGTGTTTTTCATATAGCTTATACAAAAAGGTTTGTTTATGCAAGCCCATGTTTTCTATGGAACTTCTGGTTTCTTGAACCTGGTGAAACGTGAGCGGTATGAGTCCCTGAGTCAGGATACTGATTAAGCACAATTTTTACATTTTTTTAAAGAATCTACAGAATTGTAACTCTGGAAAGGTATCTAATGTAGTTCATACTGACCTTGCTGTGATTATGCTTCTAGACCCTTTTATCTGTCAAGCCAAGCCTTCCCCTGTATGCCTCTTGCCCTGCTGGAATGAGGAGAGGCTAGCTGTGGTTATAAACAGGAATAGACAGGGCAGTCTGGTTTGACCTTCCTTAGAAGTTCAGCAGCAAAATTCTAATGTATTATTCCTGGATCTGATTTGGAGTATCCCGAGTTACGTACACAGCAGGTGGATTTAAATATTAAGTGGATATAAAATAGAACATAAATGTGCTAATAGCCTTTGCAGTATTATACACTCTCAAACTCACAGCTTGCTTTGGCTTTTGTATAGCGCTTAGTGTTTTTCCAGAGATGATAATCAGTAAACTGTTAGAACTTGCCTGAGCTTACTTCATTTTGCAGCAGTAGCTACTGATTTTAGTACAGTCTTGTTGTCCTCAGAAGCACATCTAAATATAAACTACAAATGGCCACATACTCAGAAGATTAAGATGTGGTATAAATCCACTGAAACATGGATCGGTCTCCTATCAGAATGTGAATGTAACGATTACAGAAGCAGCTGTATAGCCTAGATTTATTACTGCAGATGTGCACAAGTTAGTTGTTCTGCAAATGCTAATGATAATTCAGTATAGGTTTATAATTGGCTATAGTCTGTGAGCAGCCCTTTTGAAAAGTAGATTACAGACCATACGCAGTAAATACACTGCATCTGTCAGAGGAACACCTGCTGTGATGGTGGGTGACCAGATAGCTCTATGCTCTGATGCAGCCTAGGAATATATGCTGCTTTCTTAGTACTGCCTAGTAATGCACATAAATGTAATTTTAAAAATATATAACTTTAGTTCATCCTGGACTAAGATTGCTGTGGGTATTTTAAATACTTAATTCTTCCACTACATTGTAGGTCTACTTTACATAGACTACTATGTGAATTAGCAGTATTGGGTAAGCAGTTTAAAACAAATCTCAAAGCCAGTGGTGACTTTTAGCAGGTCATTTTCAATTTCATAAAAACCTGCATCGTGAAACTTTCAGTAGTTTTTGATTCATAACTCTTCTACAGGACCTTAGTGCTGTGTT